GCAAATATGATTGAACTGTGTCATCAATCGATCAATGCTTATTTTAAATAGTATTTCTGAGTTTTGCCTCTAATACCTAAGTTCTCGATTTGTCTTTGAACTTAAACCGGCCATCAATTTTTAACAAGACTGCTCGTATCAGGGCGAAGCCCTGAGTGTTTCAACTGCCTTTTAAGGTTTATGGAGCAGTAATAACACAAAAAAATTAAATGAAATAAACTAAAATGAAAAAATTTTTTTTCTAAAATTTGAGTTTTTTAAATGAAAATCATCCCCCCACACGCCATATAAAGTACAAAATGATAGATTTCGTTCCTTGTAACAAATCAATCATGACAAATAAGCTTCGTTCAACCAATTTGAAACGTTTTCTAAGACTGATTAACTCTCCGCTTACGCGTTAATAGCGCAAAGTATATCGCGCGTTAATTGTCCCAAATTGGTCAAAATTTGATCTTCAATTTTGTCCTAATGTTAACGAAGACAAAATTCGTTATAGCTTTCATCACAATCAAACTTGACACCAAAAGTTATTATTCTATGTGTAGATAGTTTTATTTGCAACATACATGCAATTTTTTTGCCATAAAAACATCAGTTTTCTGTCGATTATCTACCGGTTTCCTGTCTGCTATCGGAGTTAATTATTTGATCCGAATTATATAGTTCGAAAAACATTTGTCTTAGCACGAAATTAGTCTCCCAAAAATAAGGTAGCGTGGCAATCAGACTAAATCTGAAACTACTCTACTAAGTAGCCCCAAACGGAATCAGCTAATACTACAGTACTGTATGAGACTCTAGGCAGAGCCAGCTTAGCTGTTGTCAGATATAACAATTCCGCAAATATGATTGAACTGTGTCATCAATCGATCAATGCTTATTTTAAATAGTATTTCTGAGTTTTGCCTCTAATACCTAAGTTCTCGATTTGTCTTTGAACTTAAACCGGCCATCAATTTTTAACAAGACTGCTCGTATCAGGGCGAAGCCCTGAGTGTTTCAACTGCCTTTTAAGGTTTATGGAGCAGTAATAACACAAAAAAATTAAATGAAATAAACTAAAATGAAAAAAAAAAATTTCTAAAATTTGAATTTTTTAAATGAAAATCATCCCCCCACACGCCATATAAAGTACAAAAGGATAGATTTCGTTCCTTGTAACAAATCAATCATGACAAATAAGCTTCAACCAATTTGAAACGTTTTCTAAGACTGATTAACTCTCCGCTTACGCGTTAATAGCGCGAAGTATATCGCGCGTTAATTGTCCCAAATTGGTCAAAATGGCCAAAATGGCCAAAATGGCAATATTTAAACCCCCATAGTTTTACGAAAAGAGATCACAGGTGAAATATCTTTTCAAATTTAAGCTCAGAACAACAATAGTTTTTGAATGATAAAAAAAACGTCAAAAATGGCTCGTTAAAAAGTCGAAATTTGTCCGAAGAAAAAAAAACCCCCCGAGCACAAATATTCCGTTACTTTCGTGTCTCCTTACGCGAATCCTTAGGCAGTCGATAAAGCATCATTTTAACCTTTGATACATCGAATCAGTGAGCAAGGGTGGATATTATTCATAGGTTTCTAAACTTAAATTTTGCTGCACAAAAGCTAAGTGACATTGATTTGCTCTGTGACGTCAATCAGGGCGTACAAGAGCCAAAAAATCTAGTCAGATGTCATCTCACCTTGAAGTTCGATAAATTGCGTTTTGATATATGGCTGTCCGATAAGTAATCTCGATTTTTCTCAAATTTAATTCCAAGACATATTTCCAAAAGGCATCTTGTTCGTGAGATAAGGGAGCTCCTTTGACTCACGGTAATTTACATTGCCACACTACATTTAGTAAATTTTGTACTGCTTTAGATTCCACATATTTGTTCTCTTTTTCCTGCAAAACTTGAACCGGTTTAGATACAAGATCATTGAATTGGAATTGAACTACAAATGCTAAAACACTAAGCGGATTTATTTATCAACTTATAAACTTTTGTCGTGGAATTCCTTGATAAAAACATTTTGTCAGAAATTTGTCAAAAGCATTTCCAGCTACAAAACCACTGACTCATGTAGAAAAAATGTTTGTGGAATCTAGAACCGGGTGAGCACAGCTCTAGGAACCAAGTTTGGCCTCGTAATGTATCACTCAAGCTTAAAATGCATGCAAAAAAAGTTTGATATCAAACAAGACTGCTCGCATATTAGGACAAAAGCCCTGAATGTTCCGACTGTTCCTTTATTCATATCCAATAGTTTTTGGGAAAAGAAAGTATTGAAAACCTAAACATTTGGACAATATCAAAGTGTAACATTTTGAGTCGTATGAAGTTAATGCGACCAATTAACTAGCCTCAATTCAATTTGGAACGATTTTGTTGAGCGGGATAGTTCGCCACGCAAAAACAAATCTCGTTACGCTTTCAGGATTATGAATAAACTCTTCAAAACGCGCATATTTTAGGCCAGAATATGGAAAGTTTGGCAATTTTCAAACTCCCAAAACTTTACAAAAATAATGGTGAACTATCTTTTTACATTTGAGCTCAGGAAGTCGATATCTTCAGTGGGGCTTAAGAAATTTTTGTTGAAAATTATTATTTCGATCGATGAAAATTGACTGAACAAAAAAACCACTCCGAGCATAAATATTCCGTTTTCTTCAAAAGTCGGAACAAAAACTTGCATTAACACTGAGAAATACGACCATACGTCGCCGCGGTTTGATAAACGCCAGTCGCAGGTTTTTAATACAATTTTTGGATCAAATTACTATCGTCCTTCTGAAAAGAGCCATTTAAGACCATCCACCCCACTACTTCATTATTGTTCCGACTTTCGGTACGAAAGTAACGGAATATTTGTGCTCGGGGTGGGTTTTTTTTCTTCAGACAAATTTCGACTTTTTAACTAGCCATTTTTGACCGAATTTTATTTTATCATTCAAAAGGTATTGTTGTCCTGAGCCTAAATTTGAAAAGATATTTCACCTGTGATCATTTTTCGTAAAGTTATGAGGGTTTAAAGATTGCCTTTTGGGCCATTTTGACCAATTTGGGACAATTAACGCGATATATAATTCGCGCTATTAACGCGTAAGCGGAGATTTAATCCGTCTTATGAATCGTTCCAAATTGGTTGAACAAAGCTTATTTGCCATAATTGATTTGTTACAAGGAACGAAATCTCTCTTTTTGTACTTTATATGGCGTGTGGGGGGATAATTTTCATAAAAATTTCAAATTTTAGAAAAAAAATTTCCGTTTTATTTTATTTCATTTAATTTTTTAAATGTTATTACTGCTGCTCCATAAACCTTAAAGGCAGTCGGAACATTCAGGGCTTTGCCCTGATACGAGCAGTCTTGTTTAATTTGCATTAGAACTTCTTAGCGCTGCTTGCATGCTTGTAATATACTTGACTCTGATTGGCTGCAAATTCTAACTGAAAACATATTTAAATACCTGGAACACCTACAACCTGAAGTACCTAAAAAGTAGGTCCAATTGATGGTTTTTTCTCGATAGTGTCGTTTATTGAACTAAGCTAAATGATACCCTTGATGAAAATATGGGTTGATCAAACAACTCTGATTGTGCCATTGGTCTTATCAAAAAAAAATTCGAAATGCAAAAAGTTTTTCACGAGAGGAGCAAAAGAATTGAAATTAAAATTTTTGAACTGAATAGTGTAGCAATTTTTCCTTAGGTTGGTTTTTGTTTATTTTGATGAAATTTTCTCGTTGATAAATTTGATCAAATTGTGAGTCGTTTTGTAATTTCGAGAAGGGGTGGAGTTTGGGGGGGGGGGGGAGGGGGAGGGTTGACGCCGTTTCCTCAGGGATTCGACCCCCTTTTGATCCAAAGGGTTCCCGATTTGATACTTTTAAAGAAGTCCAGTTATGGCCAACCGACCCTAAAATATATCTAGCGGCGCCGTTGGCACCAATATATACTAAACTTGAGGGGGAGCGAGTGCCAAAAAAACGCGATCTTTTGTCAAAATTTTCCAAAAAGTGCCTAAAAAAGGCGCAAAAAATTTGGCCAAAATAGCGTATTTTTACTGCTTCACTGGAGAACTCGGATAAAAAAGGTCGTCAAAATTTCCAAAAATCCGCCCCCCCCACCCTTCGAGAAAATCCTAGATCCGCCCCTGATTTCGAGTATGCATGAAAGTGAAAAAATGAAAAATCAAATTCTGGCTCGGCAACGAATTGTTTCCGTTTGCTACAATTTGGTTTGTCTTCGATAAAAGTTGAACATTTATCCAAGTCTTCAATGCTCGGTCAGAATTTCTTTGCTGCGTGGTCAAGAAAAAAACCGAGAAAGTTATATTCGGATGAAAATCATGCAGATAGTCAAATCGAACAGTCAAAGCAAATTAAACGATCAATGCAAATTTCATTCGTAATAGTCCCACGTTCTAAAACAGCACCTCGAGTTTCAGGAGGCTCTTTGAAAGCTAGGGTGTTATGATATTCTGTTCCAAATAGCTGAACTGAATTGGAAAGGCCGGATTGAATAAACTGCACCAGGTTTGCGACAACTGATTTGAATTAAGGGAAATAATGCAGGGGCGGATCTAAGATTTTCTCGAGGGGGGGGGGGCGGATTTTCAAAAAATTTTCCAAAATTTGGACGACCTTTTTTTTTTTTTTAGGTCGACTAAATTGATTTTTCGAGCTCTCCCAAAGCACTGTTTTGGCCCTACTTTGGCTAAATTTTCAGCGCCGCAGGCAAATTTTTGAAAAAACAGTCAAAAAAGCCGTTTTTGGGCAATTTTTGAAAAATTTTGACAAAAAAAAAATCGCGTTTTTTTGGCGCGCGCTCCCCCTCAAAGTTAGTATATATTGGCGCCCAAGGCGCCTTTAGAAAAATTTTAGGGTCGGTCGGCCAAAAATGGATTTCTGAAAAAGTATCAAAGGGGGGACCCTTTGGGTCGGCAGGGGGTCGAATCCCTGAGGGAGGGAGCGTCCCCCCCCCCCGCCCCCCCCCCCTAAATCCGCCCCTGAAATAATGGAATAATATTTGAGAAATTATCAAAAATCGGATTCAGAGAACTCAAGACACTTAAGGAGACATTCTGTGTGAATTATTCAAACGAGTAGCAAAAAGGAAGTTACAGGGCAGTATGATTGTTTGAATTTTTAATTTGAGTTATGGGTCGAAAATTGTTTGGGAGACACATTGGGATTCTTTTTATAAGCGGCCGTGGGAGAGTGGGAGGAAAAATTGAGTTCGAATGGGTTCATTCTGTTTGTACTATAGGTGCCTCTGGTTCGACAGCAGAAGCTGGCTCCCCCTTCGCTGCTGTCCCCCCGGCTGTTTGCTCATTAGCAGAGGGTGCACTGACCTTGCCCCCCTCCTGATCGTCGCCCTGTTCCTCGATCGCTTTGATGTTTGAGTCCTCTTCCGAGCTCGGCTTCTTTGCCTCATCATTCGCCGCTTCTGCCTCTGTGGCAGCAGGTTTCGAGTCAGCCGCACCAGCTAAGCACAAATATTTTATAATAAAAATTACCGAGTTTTATCAACATTATCATCGATGATTCAGTCTTCTCAGAAAAGATGAAACTGTGTACGCATTTGTCTAATTTTCTGATCACACGACGCACAAAAAACTACAATTTCAAGAAAAAGGAAAAAACGTTTTTTTTTGTAAATTTTTTTTGAATTTGGTCGGAAAATTCTGTGCTACTTGCACAGCAACCGGTTATCTCTGTTTTTAGAAGTTTTTATGAACAAGTTTTTTATAACTTTTTTTATTCTTAAACTCAGAATCAACCAAAACAGTTAATTTATCAAGGCTATGAGAGGACGAAAAATTTATTGACAAATTCAATTTGTCACTGAACACAACTGCATCTTAGTTCAGGCCATTTACTTTTTAAAAAAGATTTTAACTTCAGCATGTCTGCTGGTGTGTTAGGGCAAATCCCTAGATGTTTCGACTGTTTTGTAAACGGCTTTACAAATTTTGATTTAACAATTTGTTAAAACATATATTTTGGACTATAGGTTTTTTGTCTCCGCAACAGCCAATGAAACGCAGGACGTTATCTTGCTTTGATGCTTAAATTTGAGTCGAGTCATTTAGGAAATTATTTCGACCAAATAGCTCGCCTCATTTTAAAATGGAAATATTTTGAGTGCGGGATAACTCGCTACGCTATATAATTCACGTTACCCTTTGTAGCATCATATAAGCAATCTTCAAAGCGCGCTTAAAATACTCCAGAGATTTGCCGAATTTTCATTGCTCAAGACCCACAAAATTTACTGCAAAGGGTTGCAGGTGTTTTTTTTTTTTCAACTCAGGGAGTCTATAGTTTCAATGGAGCATAAAAAGTTGGTTTAAAACTCTTTCTTCAAGTTAAGAGGTTTGAAAAATTTAATACGTTAATTAATTTATGCGCACTTTAATTCTGGTGGTTTATAGTGCTCATTGAAAAATATTAAGGAGCGGCAAAGTAACTCTCGCAGAAAATTAGTTCAATACTGATGAAGTAAATTGGTTTCAGTAGCTCTTTGCTAAGCTATATTTTTATCACCGAGTAAATGGCATTGAATAGGAGTGGAAATTGTTGCCGAATTTTTTATTACACTGTATACTGAGAAAACTAAGTCGAGATAAAATGCAGCCTTTTTTCGAATTTTTGAGAAAAATGCTAAATAATTATGCTTGGGGTGGTATGTGGTTTTTTATGCGGTCAAGTTTCGACTTCTTAATAAGCAGTTTCGGCAGAATTTTTAGAATATAATCTGAGAGATACTGTTGTCCTGCGCTCACATTTCTGCGTCTGTTGTCCTGCGTCCTGTGATCATTTTTATAAGTTTAGTAAAGTTAAAGGGGTTTGAAAATTGCTAATTTGGTAAATTCAGGATGATCAACGCGCAATATATTGCGTTCTTATAACACGCGTAAGCGGCGGATTAATGCGTTCTAAATTGAATCGAGGCAAGTAATTGGATCATGGTGATAGGCCAACAAACTGAAGGGGCGAACAAACCAAAAATAAGATTACCATTCCAGTAAGCCTAAAATTAAACTTGTTACGCAACGTAACAGCAGATTTTCACTGTTGTTATGCAATTGTTACCTATTTCTGATGCAGTTAACGTTCTTGCTGATGTAATTTCGGCTTCATGATATGGCTTTTTGTAGATATGATAGTTTGTTCAGCGGCCGCTTGGATCATATTATTGCAGGATACAAGAAGCTAAATATATACCGTTGTAGTTTATATTAGCGTGTGGGAGAGATAAATTTTTTTCTTTTTTTCTTTCGCTTTTTTCAGCCTAAATTGGTCTTTAAGAGCAATAGGAACATTCAGGGGCTTTGCCATCGTCTACAACCAATATTGTTCAATTATAACCTGTGTGCACTAGTCTGCCTGATTTTAGCCAAAAATTTCATTTCATTTTTTGAATGGACATGATCTAAAAACAATTTCGCGTTTTGCTTCATATCTGGACCAAGAAAGCTTTCGAATGTCGTTTTTGTCTGTCGTTTTTCCGAGCCATAAAAGTTAAGCCATGTTCATGCAATAATCAAAAGAAATAGTTTGAAGCCCAAAAACTCCTTGTGTTGTTTGCGATATTGTTGCCGATAGGCAAGAATACCTCTGAATCTAGTTATGATATACTGGCTTTTTTTACGCCTTCAAAACT